GCATTATACAGAATATAGCACTGAACAGCTACACGGTTTGACCCTGAACTCCTGATGTACCCAGAACTCCCACAGATTTCATAATGAATAATAATTGCAAGATCAAACCATTAATCAAGACATGTAACTAGGAAGAAACACATCAGCTCAGCAGCAGTCAATTGACACATAATTGATTCTTGTTTAATTTTCTCAGAAGAGCGAGGGAAAAGGAACAAGATGCCATTGCTTTGCTCTATTCAGGATGAAACAAAGTTCACTTCTTTGAAAGTTTCAGTGCTGCAGAACAACCACGAGCAAAGCCCAAAAAGAGACGCGACATGAGTGTTAACAAATTTTATTGTTCCTTTGGGTTTTTTTCAGGCAGCTCCTACCCTGCAGCGTTCACCTCCGGGATAAATCTCGATCCTCCACTAGTGCCATGAACTCTGCAGGGAGCAGGAAGGATTTCAAACTGATTCTTGTCATTTTTTGGCTTCTAAGTGGCAAGTATTATTCAACATTACATGCCACATCAATAGACATTACCATCTCTTCCCCCTAGCATTTCAAACAGTGTCTCTTTGTAAAACATGAAAGAGGATGCTAAATAAAGGGCGCTGACTTCGAAGCTCGAAGCTTGCAGTTACACTATTTGACTTAGCTACCTGCTGGGAGTGGAATGAGGAAGAGGGCTGGGGATGGATGGGGTGAAGCCAGGGAGGTTAAAGCAGAGACAGCAGCTCTACGATGCTAAAGTTCACTCGTTCTAACACCATTTTCAACTGCACGCATTTCCCAACCAGCCCCTGGCACGTCACCAATATTTGCTTCTTTGCTTACTTTTTGTCCAGGTTAATTTTCCCCAGCAGACCACCCTGTCACATACACAAAAAAAGTGACTTACTAAGTCATGAAAACCAACAGCAAGAACACAGAGCATCCACTACTTTAGCAATATCCCCAAGAGAGACAAGTTGCCTAACTGGCTCTTTGCAGGCCTTTCCTAGCTAAGCTCTCAAGGCCCACAAAGTTTGCGTCCCACACCCCAAGAAAGGCAGAGGGTTCAACTCCTTCAGTCTGCAGGAGCCACAGGGTAAGTCCTGGAAATGACCCAGAATTTTGTCACTTCCAAGAAAACCTACAGCAACACACCTGAAGCTGCACCTGAAATCTGTCAGAAAGTGGAACCCACAGCAACCTTCAGTGGGTCACTTGTTAAACGAGCTGTTGATCAGCTCTTTCTGCAACCCAGAGGTTTTCCATGTAATATCTGAAGCAGTTGGCTTGACCTGAAAATCCTACAAGACTTCAGAAGCCAACAGCTCACTGAAAAGTCCTCCTGGTCCTACATTCCCAGAGACAAGAGAAGCCCCCACTGGGTGATGGGGAGAGGTGGCGGCAGGAGGAACATCCCTCACAAGGGTCCCCCAGATCTGGGATCTGCAAAGCCAAAACAGTTCTGCGGTACTGACTTTTGAAGAACACTGCAAAGACGTTCCGTTCCTGTCTGCAGAGCATACAGAGAAGACTGATGAGAAGCAAGATATCTGTGTATGTGGTAACAGCTGCTGGAACTAATGTATTTTTCACTACACAAAGAAAAGGTTTATTTATCGTATTTATACATGTGTCAGGGAGGACATAAATTACAGGGCTAGTTTTCAAATGTTGCAAAAAAATGAAAAAGCAAGCAAAATAACCACCAGAGGGTTCCCCCAGGGCCAGACCCAGGACTTGTGCTCCTCAAGGGGTCAGCAGTCACCCAAGGACACCCCGTCCACCCATTCCCTCACAGCCTTTTCTTGATGGCACCTGAGCCTGATGGCACGTTTAAAATTAAGACTACTGAAGACGGTACAAAAGATCAGGCAGGGAAAAACATGTGTCACTAAAGATCCAAACTCTTCCACTTAGTACTGCATAAACAGCTGGGAATGTTTCTGCCATCTCCTCCTCAAAGTGACCAAGTTGCTGCCGTAAAAGCGAGTTCAGAATCACGGCTTTCATCTGTCTGTTACCAAAGACGTCAGTCCATCTGCGCACATGGTTTCTATTACCCTCAGAGATTTGCTAACTCAAAACAGAACAGTGTCTCACCCCGTCACTTCTGTATACAGAAACACTCACATAAACAATGTTGGGGTGAGTAATGTATGTTATGGATTCCAGGATATACATGCTATACCACAATTAAAAGAAACATTAAATCAAATCTCTTTTTTTTTCCCCCTTTTACTTGTTCCACTGAACTGAATGCTATTTGATCTCAGACTTCAACCGTGCGGAAGCGCTCTGGACAATGTTTCATCATACACAAAAGTATCTCAGTACCCTTCTGTGATTCTGTATCTGCTCACTACAAGAACACTCCAGTTGATTAAATGACTCACATCCACCACACGAAGCTCTGAGGAGCTGAACGGCCACCCAAGACAAACACAGCGCCAAGTTAATATTAGAACAAGCGATAAGAGGGGGCTGCTGCGGATGCCATCAAAGATTAGCAGTGGTTCACACAGACTTTCTCACCTAGGCGTTAAGTCTCTTATGTAGGCTGTGCCGTGAGTGACAGCTGTCACTACCAGGCTGCAGGAGGAGGACAGTGTGGTCTACCACAACCAAATCAAACTGCTTGTGTGAAGACTGGAGGTCCCTCACTAATGCTATCCAAAGCTCCAAATTCTACATATGTTCTGTAAGTGAGATGATGCACTTATCATGCTGTCTGTACGAGTCTGCAAGGCAGCTGTTAGAAGGTTTTGTTCCTCACTGCTGGATTTCAGTACTGCATCCCTCGTCATGGGCCACTGGAGTTTCACTCTGGGTTCGCACCAAAGACCCATCAGCTGCACTTGAGTCTCAGCTGTGCCCACAGTTCCATAAAAGTGGCACGAGAGAGATGGCCGGCACGGTAGCAACTACCATGCAGCTTTGAAGCAGACTCACACCTCTTAACTGCCTGGCTGGATGGGTAAATATTGATGTGAATTGACTGAACAAGCTTGGATGTAAACTTTACTAGCGACAAAGTTAAATATTTGTCTCACAAGAAAGCAGCTAAAGGTCAGAGATGCAAAGGAAAGACCCTAAAGCTTTCTGGGAGAATTTTACTTGTCCCAGATCTCTCTTTCTGGCCTCTTCTCTCTCCAAAGAAGGAAGTTTTGGATAGGAATGAAGTGAGCTTGGCCACCTTGAGAACTGCTAGAGTAAGGAAAGCCACATGTTCAAAACTGTCCTCACTTCTATTATTTCTCATGTAAAACATAAAACATGACAAAAGATGATTTTTGGTACTAAGCTCATTCTCTTCAATGCTGGCAAAATTTCTCACTTTCAGGGACTCTTGCTCTTTTCCCACAGCAGGACTGTGACTTGCTGTACAACTGACTTTCACACCAGTGCTCACCTCCTCCCACCTCCTGCTCGACAGCTGCTCTCATGCAGAAGACGTCCTCCCTCATCCGAGCACATACACAGCACATGAACGGGAGTCCTGCCTGGCCGCTGCTAATCAGGTCCGATAACCAGCAGTACGCCACACAACTCAGTCCAGTACCCTAAACATAGTGAACCATGGAGGGGCGAAGAACAAGGTGAGAGCAGAGGACATGCTTAACAAATCGCTGCCCTTGTGGGACACAGAGCCCATGTCCAGAGCTGCTCAGCCACAAGTTTATGGTCCCTGGGTGATGTTCTTCAATAGAAAAGCTTATATATCCTGAAAAACATTTTTCCTGTGCCACAGCTATTCAGAAAAATTTACTCCCCTGTCTTTATATGCCGAAAGAAAGACTTGAGTAGGTATATGAAAGAAATCTATATTATTGGATATAATTAAGTCTCATGAAGCTGTAACGACTTTCTGAAGGATAATATTCCCCAGCTGCTTCTCAAAAATTCACAAAGGAAGAAGCTATTTTAGGTAATGCGTGTAAGAATCAAGGTTATTCTGAGTGATCATCTACCTCACAAGCAACATCACTGTCAGAAAAAACATAACAATCTCCTCTTTACGGTCTACCATAAACATATTTCATCTGCAGTTAAAAGACAGCGAAAGGCCAGTATTTCCCTTGCTTGGCTACTTGGAGAAGGATTCCTGTGCTTGGGCACCTTCCAGTGCCTCAGCTGCCCCTGTCTAAAGGCAGAGCTGGCTGGTGCTCCCCAGATTTGGTTGTCTGCTATCAAAAACTGCTAAAAATAAAAGTTTGTTCTTTTCTTCTACACACAATAACCTCTCTCAGTCTGTGCTATTAACCTGAATATTTGAACAAAAATAATCAAGGCTCCCACAGCTGTTTTCTAGGTACTAATGGCCTAAGTCATCAGCTCCTACCTTGTGCTAATCTTACAAGCTAAGCAACTTTGGGTCAGTTTATATTTGGTAAGAGACCTCCAAGCGATGGAGGGAAAAATGTTGTCAAGTAGCGTGCTTTCCGCTGGGGTTCACTAAGTCATCACAGGACAGTTATGGTGGGGTCTGGTCTCTCCAGTGAGGTATTAAGCCAGGGCAAGGATTGCTTACAGTCTTTAAAGACCCCATCACCTCTTTCTATTACACAGTGGTTAGATCATTCTTCAGGCTAAATTCCACTTCGGCTAATCACCTTGTACCTGCCAGACTGCTTCTCTAATTGCAGTGCAGGTAAACATAGATGGAGGGACCTCAGGAGGCTGACTGACTCTACCTCCCTGCCCTGAAAGCGCAACTAAATATACCTAGACCTTCCCTGTGTGGATACCCAGAGTTCACATTTTTCTAGGAAGCCTTTCCACTGCTTACCCAACCGCAGAGTTAAAAGATTTTCCTAACATCTTGCCTGAAAATTAAGCCAGTTACTTCTTGCCCTACTTCCAGCGGACCTAGGGAACAATCAGTCATTATGCCCTTCAAAAAAATTATTTTTTTTCAGCCTGAAGAGTCTTGGCACATTCCTCTCCAAACCTACTTTTCCCCATCCAAAACAAGTGCCAGTTCTGTCAGGCCTGCCTTCCTGCACCTCTTAACGCCTTCTTACCTCACCCCCATTGAGACTCTCTTGGGTTTGTCTACCCTTTGTCAGCGGAGGTGCCCAGAAGCAGGCATGCTCCGAAGAATAACCGACATCCAGCTCTTCAGCACCGCACCCCTCCGCGACAGCAGAATCGCAGCTGCGACTCACGCTCACCAGAGCCAGGATGCTGTTCACCCCTGGCCGCAGCACTCGGGCAACAGTGCCGCACGCCGTGAAGCTTGTCAGGCCTGGTGCAGGGGCGAGCTGACCGGAATAAGCTCTGGATTTAAATTCACTCAGACACCCAAAAGGCTGGCCCAGCAGCTCCCTTGCTTTGGCTCAACCCGGGCAAATCTGCCCCTTTAAACACAGCCTGATGTGACTCGCAGCACAGTTTCCAGAGCCCTGTCGTGTTAAACTTCGCTGCAATGTTAAAACATTGCTCCAGGCACACATAATGAATAAACTGTTACATAAGTCAAGTCCCAGTCCAAAACGGGCCAGCTATTACACCGTGGGATACGGAAAAACAGACGGATACATCTGACTTCCGAATAACCAAGTTTTCTCCAAGAATTTTGGCTCCTGCTCATCAAGAGGCAGAGTATCTTCCTAGGCAAGTAGTGCCCAAACTTTACCAGATTTGAAGTCAGCTTGAAAACACTATACATACAAATAGACTATGAAAACATGACACATTTTTGTACCAGATTTGTAGAAGAATGAAAAAGGACTCTGCATAAGCCCTACATATGACTGACATAAACATTAGTAGCATTGTCATTTTTAAACTAAAATCTAATGCAAAATTTAAGTAAAATCTTAGCAATAATGTAATGCCAAATTGCATGAGGTTATTTTGAACCTGCAGCATTATTAACTACCAGGCAGTTATTCCACATAACTTTGAAGCCACGACTTCAAAATAATTTGTAGATTTCAATTACATTAAAGACAAGACTGTTATCAGTCATTACTGCAGAGAAGTGGTACCCTCTCAGAAACAGTTCCTATCTAAACAAAAACAAAACCTGCAATCCAACAAGCAACAGCAAAAAACAATTAGTCCGTATTTACAAAGAACCAAAATACAAATGTACAAAAGTGTATGCAATGCCCATAAAAATATAATCTCATAAGATTGTTCTGGTTTAGGCAATGATACTTCATGTTTCAAACTATGTTACAACCCCAAGACAAAATACAAACGGGCCCAGCAGCTTTTAATCACTGAAGGCAAACTGTTTTATATCCCTAGATATGAGATGAAAGAGCATCCAAAATAACGCCAGGTTAACTTTGGCAGCGTACCGCACTCCCCACCTTCGGGCTGCCAGAACAACAGACGACATGATTTCCAGCTGATACTACAATTCTCAAACCGAACTCAGTACTTTGCTTGCCTGCCACCGGCACGCTTTCCGCAGACGCACCCGTGCCTGCAGCCCAGCAGCCTCCGACGTTCCTCCGAGCGCGCCTTCCAGGGGTCCCCCGCTGCACAGCTCTGCTACACCCATGCAGAAAGCAAGGCCCTGAACCTCGTTTTTTAGGGGAGACGGTCACAGCGCTCGCTACGTGAGCAAGCAGAACTGCAGGAACTTAAAACACCTGCCTGGATTAACATCGGCCTTTTTTCTTTCATCCATAACCATATGAAACTTCTTATTTTTTCCTCCTCCTCCATGGAAATAAATCTGCCCAGAAAGCAAAGAAGTCCAGCTTTTCTTAACCAGACTCCGGGAAAGGGCTCCTCCCCATTTCAGAGCAAAAGAGCCAACATACCCTAGTTACTGCAATCACTGTGATAAGAATTAGCTGTTCTCTCAAATTCCAAACACAACAATTTTTTAAATTTTTTTTTTTTAAATCATCACACCCTGCAATAATACTTTAAAACACACCTCGCACCTGTGGTGCTATGTGGGTGCAGAGCTCACTAACATCTATGGCAAGAGCAGGCACACGTGGCAAAATTTGTGTGTTTCCATGCAGCTGGAGCTTTTATCTGCTCCATGCACTGCCAGACCAGTGCTTAACACAACCAGAGCTTAGAATCCCAGTTTATAAACACTGTTGGGCGTTTTATGATCAACAACACAGTTTTACACACTCCCACCAAAATACAAATGAGGATTACAAACTTCCATTTGCTTTACATTCACAGCACAACGTATCATTCTTCCCATTCTTCAGACGACCATCACACGCTCTCAGTGCTGAATTTTCTTTATTATTTGTCAAGCAAGAGCAGCAGCAGCATCTGCTCCTCGGTAAGCTCCACCGGGAGCAAAACAGCTGGGAGCAACGCAGCTCCCAAAGGCACCAGAGCAGGCAGCTCCGGCAGCCCCCAGAGCCGCCACGTAGCTCAGTTACTTCATTCCCCGCTGCTTTCAGTTAGCAATTTTTAGGCACGCAATTTTTATGCACGAACAGGCACTTGTAACCTCGGCGGTCAAACCCTTCCATCTGCCGCGCAGCCACCCTCCCTGCCACTGGAGATTTACCAGCAGTCAGGAAAAGTGCCCGACTGCACGGGCAGCTTCCCGCAGACGCGAGGGCCGTGGATGGAGGAGTCTGCTCTGCGCCTTTCCCACCCCGTCCGGGGCTTGCTTTTTTTTCCCCTTTTGGTGCTGTTGGTTGGTTGACTACAGTTGTTCTTGGGAAATAAATAACACATCTCTGCTTCAGGAAATTTTACAGTGAGTCACAGTAGGCATAAAATAATTTCCCTGCATGTTTTTGCCATTTTTTTTTTATGTGGCCACAAAGCAGTATATTCAACTAGACCTATGGAAATGCTCTATCTGTCATCCTCAGAAATGGACTGACAATGGTTTATGGGCAGACGCAAGAGACAAAAGCACACGAAGCCCACAGCAAAAGGCAACCCCAAGCTGGTACAGCAGGGAGCCCGTCCCTCTCCCCAGGCAGCGTTCACACGCGCCAGCACGCTGCCGCCTGTCCCCAGAGGTGCTGGCAGAAGGCACAGATCGCCAGTTTCAGCGGCCTTTTCTGCTAAGAGACCCCCGTCTCGTCTTAAAACAGTCTGAAGTGACATGCAATGTTTCCTGATCAAAAAAACAAATATAAAACCAAAATACATCATCCATTATTTTTTTTAGCTATCACACACGATCTCCACTTCCACAAGAAAAAATGGCACTAGTCTGACCACTTCTGCTTTACTTCTCATCACTTTTCCCCCCCAGTATATTTCTATTCAACAACTCTACTTCAGACCCAGTAATGCCCAGAATTTCACTCCCACTGTCTCCAAAGCCTTATCTTCACTTTATGGAACAGGTTTTCTTCGCCCGAAGCAGTGTGTTCAAGCCAAATAGCTGAACGCAGAAGACACCTGACGGTCTCAAACTTAACCTGACAACTCCACCCTATATTATATTTACTAATATTATTCACTTGACTTAATTACTGGGATCCAAATGAGACCACAGGAGCAACGTGCCAACCACCACAAACCACAGCGGTGATGTTTTACCCGGAGACGCACGAAAACATGCCGTGGGCTTTCCAGAGTCTCAAGCTCTCCAGCGCCACGAGGCGCTGCCGCCTCTCCGGCACGGCGAGCAGCCTCTCCTGATGCTGCTTCTCCACCATGATTTCCTCAAAACTCCTGAGGTAAATTAGGATATGCTTTACTTTTGCCTCCTGTTCTTTGATGCCATGCTTCGCACATATTTTCAAGAAACTATCTGAATCCACAGAACCACAGAACGGCAGAGGTTGTAAGGGACCTCTAGGGATCATCTAGTTCAACCCCCCTGCCAAAGCAGGGTCTCCTACAGCAGGCTGCACAGCACTGCATCCAGGGGGTCTTGAATATCTCCAGGAAAGCAGACTCCAAAGCCTCCCTGGGCAGCCTGTTCCAGTGCTCCATCACCCTTAGAGTGAAGAAGTTCTTCCTCATGTTCAGCTGGAACTTCCTCTGCTTCAGTTTGTGCCCGCCACCCCTTGTCCTGTCACTGGGCACCACTGAAAAGAAATCCACATGATTATACCTTTTTCCCCCTCATGAAAGCCAAAGTTCTTCCATAATTACAATCACTTAAAAGTGGGGCTTTAGGAGAATACCAAGCAACATGGCGTTGACAACAAAAACTCACAAAAACTGACGCTGCAAAATCTAGATGCCTCAACACGGTATCAATACCACAGCACATCAGGATGCCACACAGTCATTCTGCTGAAGAAATACATGACAATGTCATCGTCATCGTTGCCACAGTGGTGAAGGAAGTAAGGGATTATCTCATTCCTCCTCCTAAACCTCTCAGGAAATCAGGGACAGAAAACAACAGTTTTATTTTTCCATCACAGCTCCCCATGGAAGATGAAGCGAATCTAAAATTTAAACTATACATGAGTTCGTTGTCCATCTCCTCTTTAAATAAAAAATCAATTACTGGGGGCGCACAGGCAAAGAAAAGGAAGCAGAATTGCAAAGGAGACCCCGTGATCACAGGACATCTGCTCCAATGGTGGGCTGGATGTTAGCGAGAGGTCTCTTCCTCAAGGGAGCCCGAGCAAACCCAGATAAAGCTTCAGTTCAAGAACAGAAGAAGGATTACCCATTCCACAGATAACTCTGCTTTTATTCTTGCCAAGTCAAACATCAGAAATAGTCATTTACTTTGACCACGAAGCCAGTCCCACATCTAGCAAAATCCCATTTGCTTCTGTTCATGGTCACTCCAGCTCCTTTAAGTATCTGCACACCTCCGCACAAACCACTACCACCGCACTGGACAGCGGGGCCTCAAAAGAGGTGACCAACCACACTTATCCAGCCTTCGAAAACTGGCTCCCCCACCCTGAAAGACTGCAAAGAAAACTCAGCAGAAGAAACTTCCGAATCTGTAAGTGACTGCTGAGAAATCGGCACCTGCCGCAGCCGCCGCAGC